TTAATCATTTAGATAGTTATCATTTAGAGTTAACTATCGATTATAATCACCCATACCGATGACTATCGATATTTTTTATCGATGATCATCGATTATTGGTTGGTAATCGTTAGTAATCGGCTAAAAAAATTTCCTGATGTATGTACTTTAAGCCTTATAAGTCTAATTAAGCAATTAAGATTTTATATACCATATGTAATTAAGCTATTTATGTAATACATTATATGAATCACAGGTTTAGACATGTTATGTAGACAATTAGTCAAAGTTAATTTGTTATTTAAAGGCTTGTCATTAGAGGAGTAAAAGATTAGTTGTTTTTTTCTCTCAACAAATCCATTAAAATGTTTTTTGTTTTGATATTTGAACCAACTGATAATTCGAACCAATCAAATTTTGACATAGACAAGATTAAATTAGAACTTAATAACAGAAAACTTGATATGCCTGAAGATGTGATTAACAAAATAAGCACTTTAAACAATGAGTCTCTTTTTATTACACCTACTTTTGAATATTACGAAAGTATTGTAAAATAACCAACAAGTCATGTTGGTGCATTTTTTGTTTTTAAGAAAATATTACAACAGTTTTTTAAAGATGAAAAATTTACACCAAATGTTACAGACTTAGCATCAATCGCTGGTATTATGTGGGGAAATACATCACTTACTATTAGAAACAAATATGAAGTTTTAACAAATCAAATAAAATTAAACTCAAAGTTTGAGTTAAAACACGGAGTACCGAGCCAAGACATTTTAAGCAAGAACGCATAATCAAGTACTTTTTTTTAACCATTGGTATCTGATATTAGGTCAGGGTACTAAAGCTGATCCTAGCTAAACTATACCTTGATTATATGCAATATCTTGTGTTTAAGAACTATATTTCTTTACCTAGATTAGATATATCAAAAAGCCAAGACCTTTGTCTTTGGTAAAGAGGCGGTGATAATTTTAAGGTTTATTTAAATTACTAAATTAAGGCTTTATTCTGTCAATTTAAGGATTATCAGAAGCTAAAGTTTATTTACAGATTGCCTGCTTTACTTTTAAACCTTTTTTTGTTTTATCTTTTAGGGTGAATAAAAGGATTGGCATCTAGTATTAAATTAGTTAATTAAATAGTTATAGTAATTAAGCATTAATCTTGAATTGAACTGCGGCTATTTTATAGCTTATAAAAACACCTCCTTTGGCACCTTGCTTCAAACCTTTGTATTTAAACAAATATAACACTACTCTTTGTATACCCAATAATATTAGCACTATGTCCTTATCAAAATGCTTTTTTTTTGTTTTTGAGTCTTTGTGTTATTTTTGTAGTTATTCTCTTTTATTTTGCGTCTCCTAAAGTTTGTACCTCTTCTGATGATCATAAATTTAGTAATGATAAACATAATTACTTATTTAATAAAATCCATTTTGTTCCTGCTTCCAACAATTATAACGATTATAATGCCTGCCTGGACAAAAGACTCTGCTCCGAATTAACTTACTCTCTTTGACTGGGTAGGTGATTTCAACAAGTTTCTTTAATTTATAATTGTATTAAACTAGTTAAATAATTAAATTA